ACAAAGCTGAAATTTATTAAAATTCCTTCTTCAACTATTGATTAGCCAGGAAACTGTATACATATCAACTGATCCAATGCAAAAATAAAACAAAAACAAATACATTAGTTCATTATAAACAATTTGATATCTTTCCTGCTGTATTTTCAATGCCAAATTGCATTCATTTCTTTTTTGTTTATAACCAGAGAATTATTTCTTGTCAGTAATCTTTGGTACAAAATTTCAGATTTCAAAAAGCCTCAAATATAGCTAGAAATTTTAAAAAAAGGTTTACCTGTAATATACATTTAACTAAATATTGACAACTTTCTAAAACAAAAAACTTTAAACAAGATGGCAACTCTAACAATAAAATAACCCTTTTACATGCATTAGATGATGGACACTTAAGTTTGTTCTTTTTATCCAAATTCTAAAAAAAAAAAAAAAAAATAAAATAAAATAAAATAAAATAAAAATAAAATAAAAAAACCAACCAAATCTCAAAAACAACCAACCAAATCTCAGTTGTTGATACAGAAACTGAGAAACAATATATATTTTCCTAACATACAACCAACACAAAACGAGCCTAAAGTAACCATAAATTATTTTTTTGGCAATTAAAAAGGCAAAGATTTCCTATCAAAGTTAGCTGAAAGAGCCAACCTAGACTTTGACAAGTAAAGACAAACCTTAAAAATAGAAGCAAATTTTCAATCATAATCTCTCAATAAATATAAAACTGTTTCAAACCAAAAGGTATATATACAGTATATTGTTTATAATCAGTTATTTGAAAAATTCACAATGGATCATACAAAACATCTACAGGTAAATGTTATGAGTGAATAATATAAAAACTTATTTATATAATGAGGGATACGAGTGACAATTTGTGGCTTACAAGGACTTTTTCTTGTCTTGATGAAATTAGGCACTCAGATAAAGTTTCCTTTCTAATCAGTTTATAGCCTTGGATGAAAAGGCATCAAAACTAATACAAACCAAATGGAAGAATCCAGATTAAGTTCTTAAAAACATTTACTGCTCAGTTTGGTATCATCTGAGCATTTTAAAAGCAAATACTATTTTTGTCATATTTTCAATATTGACAATCATCTTCTATACAGTAGAGGTAAGTGGCCTGGTTTCTGGTTTTTATATAATACACAAGCAATGAAAAAACAATATTTAAAAGAAAAAAAAAAAAAAAAACCTAATGGCTGATTTTCTCAAGATATTTCTACTTGTTAAGAAAATTATTTTAACTCCAACTCAGCTGATGTACATAAAAATGCTTCAGTAATAATGAAGATAAAGTCAGAAAAAAAAAAAAAAAAAAAAAAAAAATTATATATACCAAAAATAAGAAATATTGCAAGTAAGAATATATTACAGATGGACTAATGTAGACATATCTGGTTGGAAAGAAAGCTCTTGTGGTTTCTAAATAGCCAAATTTATTTATAAACCTCAAGATCTTTTCATTTTTTTTTTTTTTTAATTTATTCACAGCAAATAAGGCAATAATACCACTAAAACACAAGGGGGTACTAAGAGTGAAAGAGAATGAAAAGACTTTAGAAGGAACCAAAAAACCCAATCCTAAACAGGAAACAAGGGATAAACCTCTACTCTTTTTCAAAATAAAAAAATTAAAAAAAAAAAAAAAAGGTGTAAATTTGATGTCTTCCTATGCGTTACTCAAATTCTTAAACTGTACAAAAGAAAACATAAGAGCATGGGATACCCATGTCAGACTGTAAACATGGAATCTAAGGTAACACCAACTCAACAGATGTTTTTGAAAAGGTGAAAGAGGAGGAAACTGAAAGAGAAAGATTTTTCAGTTTCTAAGGGTATTTTAATTTACTGACCCCTTTCAGATGAAGAACATCTCAAAAGTATTTGTTTCTAACACTGAAGAAATGGATAAAGTGTAGCTGTTGAAGATAAAGAAAAAAAATGACATTATTAAAAAAGACACCCTCTTTTAACATGTCACAAATAGGCAAAAGCCACATTTATAAACTTGGCACACAGGAGGTTATAATCTTATTTTAATTTTAAAAGTAATTAGCCTGTTATTGAAATTTATTTTACAAATTCAAGAATTTATTTTTAGGAAATAAGCTAGATACTGAAATCTAAACAACTTTTGAATTGTATATAGAACTTAAAAATTAGCTTTGTGGTAGGGATTGAAACTTACATCATTATCTAGTTCAATAAGGTTCACTCTGTACAAGGCCCAAAAGCCACACAAGGTAGGTTACAAAGAGGCACAGTTTATGGAGATATGTGGGGAAGATAACCATTAATCCTAGGACCTGAACAGGTGAAGATTGTACTGATGATGGGAAGAAGCTGCTCGAGGGGAATTTGTATTTCACCAATGAAATACAAAAGGAATGATGGTGGTTCACTACAATTTGTGTGACATGGTAGGTCTTAACCACTAAGGTCACAGCTGGTAGAACTAAGGAATGTACTTTGTCTGAACACTTTCCATGAAAATAGCCATAGAGCAGCAAGAGGCTTGCAACGTTTCAGTTGTGTAGAGGAGTTGTAGGGTGGAAAATAATTCATCACCCAAAAGGATATGCAGACACTTTTGAAGTATCAAAGCTGAAAAGTGAAAACTGAGCAGCACCTGCCCACACATGGCAACAGTATTTCATTTTCGGCCAGATCTGGCTTTTGTAGAGATAGAGTACAGCAGAAGGAGTCAGTGGAAAAAGGGAACCCACTAATATCTTTAGCAATGGATCATATATACGAGTTCCACTTGAGGTATAGGGATGAACTTACGTCCTAATAGATGCTCTAGGTATGGGGTCTCCTTGAGAATACATCCATTCATCACAATAGATGAAAATTCAAGGTAATAATATCAAATGTAACAAGTTGATCTGACAAAAGAAAGAAAAAATATTTTGAACACAATCTGCCTATAGTTTTGCCTTAAAGATATTAAGGCTACAATTATAGATATGAAATACAAAGTCAATAATGCTTAACTTTAGCATGACAGGTTAATATAAAGATTCTAAATAATAAGAAAAGTATATCCTCACCATGTGCCATTAGCTAACCAAATTTGTCACATTTTCATTTTATAAAATTCATTTTGCATTTGAGAATAAAATAGAAAAATATCTTAACGGATCATGACAGTGTGATTTTCGCAGTTATTACAAATATTTTTGCAATTAAAACTTATCAATGCTGCATATGATGACGAGATAAAAACCTTTTTTTTAAAAATCATCAACAACTAACAAATATGTGAAAATCTGAAAAAAAAAAAAATAAATAAATAAATAAATAAAACAAAAAATATTTCTACTCATCTTTATATTCTCAAATATATTTCAGATAATGAAAATGTGTTTTGCTACACAGCTTTGTAAAGACCAATTTACTATATATACTCATGGATAGGTCACCCACACTGAATAGGTCACACCCCTACTTTTATGGCTTAATAATTGAGGATTTACTGTTGACTTGCAGAGAAGTTGCTCTATAATCTGGAGAGTTACACAACCCTTTTTAAACGTAAGAATTATCAGATATCTACCTTTATTTCAAAACATACAATTATTAAACTTTTGCAGTTAAAATACATTTTGTCAATCACCATGTAAACAAAAAGGATGTACCTGTTGTACCGGTATTTTTATATTCATCACATTTTCATATCAAGTCAACTCGACAAAAAAAAAAAAAAAAAAAAAAAAAACTAGAGAAGAAAATGTTACGGTATATTTAGAAAAAAGTGTTTATCTATTTATATATCAAGTTACAGTTTTAAAATTAATTCAGAACTGATTAGGGCTTGCAACAATTAAAATTATAAACTATAAATTTGGCTACCAACTATATTGTTGTGCAATACAAACATTTTGGGTACGAAATTCATGCGCTTTGTCATTTGTGAACAAAAGAACACCTTTTAATATTACATGAAACAAGCATTAAAGAAAATTATCTCATAAAGAATATATTTCATTTCTTTAAGTCATATTTTCTAACATATTTTTGACAAAATATATATATTTTGCAGAATGTATCGTGGGACTGTTTTTTCTTTGTCAATAAACATCCACACATGGTTCCTTAACTTATGTATGCATGTTCAGGGTTTCTATATCAGTCTAGTACAAGGGCCCCAACTGAACGGTGACTGATGGATCAATGAATATTTTACAATTTTATTTATTTATTGTGATAGATATGTGAATCTAGCAGCATGAGGTAAATTAAAAGCAGTGAGTCAGTATATATGATAGATAAATTGTTTCTATATAGAGAAAAACCACAACAGTGTTTATGGATATCATTTCCAATATCTCAGAAATGATGACAAAGTAATTTACATTTATGTTGGGCGAATAGGTTGCACAACTAATATTTTGTGAAATTTTTTGTAAAAAAAAAAAAAAAAAAAAAAAAAAAAAAGTATAACCTATCCACGAGTATATATGGTATTTGATTCTCTATGAATTTTACAAGTATTTAAGAATTCTTATGGTGCTTTCTAACATTATTTTGCATTTAAAAGAAATATGCAAGATTTTGCAAAAATCTGAAAATATTTATCAATCCATGTAGAATTAAAAGATGCCGAAAAATTTTTGGCTCAGCCCACTTTACAAAATCTGACCAAATGATAAAACAAGATTTAGGAGACTTCTTGATCAGATTGGAAAACCTCTAACGCCCATATATATTTTCAAGATTCTATGTGGCACTGATGAAAAAAATGGATGCCAACTTACAATAATAATAGAAACAATTAACTTTCTGCCATTTAATTCTCTATAATACAAATAGAAAGAAAAAAAAACTTTAGTCAATGGTACAAAGTTAACTTTTGAGATAAGCAAATCAAGACAAATAGAAAAGCAGGGGGTGAACACAAAGCCATGATCCTCAACAGCTACACTATTTCCGCAAACATATTCAATCGCAACCCTCAACCCTGTAACCCCAAGAGAGTATTCACAAACCTCGTGCAAAGTCAAAAGTTGATCCCTTGGGACGCTTACTTTTACGTAAAGCGCTATGGATTATCCGCCCAGTACGGAAGTCAAAGGCACTTAGATCGATGACATCTCCTATATGTCGAGCCAATTGCGGTTTACTACGGATTTTCTTTCCATCTGGACTGTGGAGAGAAAAAGAAAAAAAAAAAAAATGTTAGAATAAAAACCATTGTATTGTGTTTCATTTAAAATATTATATCCTCATTTAACATTCATGTCAAAAGTTAAGAATGTATTGTTTTAGAGGAACAACAAGAAGAGTTCAACGAGTACAGTGAACTTCATTAGCCATTCTTAGAAGAGTGGGGACATAAAAAAAAATTTAAAAAAAAAAAAAAAAATACAGAAGAACAATACAAACCAAATGGTTGGGAGACAACCCTTGCTATTAACACAATGATATTTGTTGCTATACATTCAAAGAATTTTAAATTGAAGCAAAACTATTTTTCCTTTTAATATATGAAATTGCAAAATCAGTGTTAAACGTTATAGAAGATTAGACATTTCAAAATTTCACATAAATCAATCTCAATTGGTCTTCAAGCACATTTTATGGTCAAAATTATAATACAAATGTGATTTTTTTTTTTTTATTAATAACTAAACAGCAAACCTTACAACAATTTCAATTAAGCTTTGCACTGGTTACATTTCATGGAGAATTTGCATTAGGAAAATAAAACCTATTCAAGTTGATTTCTATGTTAAGCTAAGGAAAAATTAAGTTTAAAAATTAGTTAATTTTAAATTTTAATGAATGTAATCGATTCAAACAAGAAACTATCAACTGAAGAATGTTTTATCAGCAAATAGGATTTAATAATTGTAAAGCACACTAACATGGAGCTTATATATATATATATATATATATATATATATATATATATATATATATATATATATATGTGTGTGTGTGTGTGTGTGTGTGTGTGTGTGTGTGTGTGTGTTACATGTGTGTGTTGAAATTTACTTTTGTGGAGAACAAACTGATGAAAACACAAATGAACATCAACATGCACACATTACTGACAAGAGGGAAAAATGCAAATAAAAAACCTTGAAAAGTGAACCTACACCATGAAAGTGCATATTCAGGCTAATCAAATACAGATAAATTAATTTACATTAAGTAAATTTTTCAATTAAAAAAAAAAAAAAAAAAAAAAAAATTGTGTGCATACACAAGATTTTCTGGAACATGAAAATCATTTTGTATTGAAAACATTAAAACTGCACACAATTTTTTTCTTATAAATCTAAAAACTGGGCAATCAAATTTATCAGCATCATCTTAAAAAAAAAAAAATCTTTGTATGAAATGGATTTAAAAAAACGAAGCAACCTCATCTGTATCAGAAACATTGCTAGAGGATAGAAACTATCATAGAAAATGAAAAAAAAAACTCCACTCTTAGTCAGAAACTTGATAGAATTCACTTGTGGTAATATGACATGAAGATAAAATAATCAATTCAATTCAATTATCAGATCAACTCAGTCAAATGAAAATCAGAGAAATTTTCATCCTTAGAAACTGACATGAGATTTGTTAATGACAACATCTACATCATTTTGAATGTACAATCTGGTGGAGAATGAGAGGCTAATTTATTCCTTATCCCAAAACATTAGCATTCAACTAATATCAGCATGCAAAAGAAGAAAGAATTACCAACAAAATAAATAAAAATTCATGTTCTTTGTTAAGTATCCATTGAATTTGGATAAAATATCAGATTATACCCTTTCTAGCAACAACCATTTAATATATATATATATATATATATATATACACACACACACACACACAGTGTAACCCGGATATAAGAGAGTTGTCGGGACCGGAGAAGAAGTCTCTTATATCCGGGTTTGGTCTATTTTATATACATTAACACAGGCTCTAATTTGGGACCAGAGAAAATCTCTTATATCCGGGTTACACTGTATGTGTGTGTGTGTGTGTGTGTGGTGATCAGAATATCATAGAAATGTATTTAGTGCGTCGTTATGGTATAATTGTCTCCCTTGAACTTCACTCTTTAGATGTTAGACAAAGCAAAACTGAAAGAATCCTTGTAATTATATTATTAATAAAACCATAAAAAAAGGTATTTGAGTTTCTCATTCTACAACATTGTGCATAATGTCTAAAAGAAACTAAATTTTCAGAAATTGAATAAATAATCTAATTCATAAAATTAGAAGAAAACATCTGTTGATCATTAGACTAAGTTTTAAAATAATAAGATAATACAAAAAGAAATTCAATTATCATGTGTCAAGTACCAACAACAATCATTGGGAGAAAAAAAACAAAAAACATGGCAATAAAGATTAAGAAAGTCAGATTGACAAGAATAGAGAAAACATAAGAAAAGAAGTTATTCATAACAGAAAACAAATGTAAATAGTGAGTAGGTAATATGCAAAAATGTCAACATGACAATTTTATTTATCATTTCAAAAGCTTTTTTTTTAAATTAACAGAACAGTGAAGTGCAATTACAGGAGATCTATTAAAATCTGTCACATAACTTGAGAGGGAGAAGCCGACAAGCATGTTTCAGGGTTATTTAATGTTTTGCAGTTGGAAATGGGACAAGAGATAGTAGTAGGTAGCACCCAACATTGCTTTAAGTGCTACTAACGAAACTAATAAACTGAAAAAAAAAAAAAAAAAAAACTGTCGTGAAGGCATTCAGGTCTAAGAAAGAAGGAGGAGGTTAATCAACATTACAAACATTTTTATAGCGATCTTTAAAATAATAATTTTTTTATATCTTAACATGTTTTTAAAACCATTGAATATTATTTTCATGTTAGTAAATCTACATTTTACCTTGACTGAGTTTTCATTTTGGAATTACTAACATAGCTGATTTTACCACCACTTTTAGCCATCTGTCAACATGTAATTCTTTTTATTAAAAAAATCTTTCAAAAATAAAATATACACTTATGAAACTTTATTTGAGGAATATTAGCTCATTTAAAGTTTAATTAATCTGATTTGAAACAAATATTACTTTAAGTTTAAAATATCACAACACAGCAGTAGATATTTATTTAAGGTCTTGACAGATTGAAGATTATCTAATTTTGTTCTACAATGGATATATCTAAAAATTACTTTAATATAACATGAGTGCTTTTTCATATAATTTTTTTTACTACCCAATAATTTTAAAAATTTAAGGAAATATTCTCTGTAATGTTTTATTGAATCCTTTCTGGCTTCAAATTTACTATAGTTATTGCTCTTATTTTCTGATAATGTCACATATGAACTGCACCTACAAAAAAATCAGCACATTTATACATACACACAAAAATTTATTTTTAAAATACAGGGAGAGGGGGGAAGGGTTACCGAATTATAATTAGTAAATATAGTTTTTATGTAATAACAAAATTACCTAACCTGCACAAATTTAAAAAAAAAAAAAAAATGGAAACAATTCTTGTAACAATCCATTATTCAAGGCAATTTTTTTTTCTTAAGCCAATAGTTTCCATAATATATCTTATTCATAAAACAATTAAAAGCTTTTCTAATTAAATAATGCCTTCATTTTATTGCATTTATATTTTACAATTTAGCAGATTTTTGCTAACTGGAGATCATGTTTTAAAAAAGGATATTGATGATTTAAACTCTCCGAGATCTGCTTTTAATTAATATAAACATTAAGTGGTTCAAAATTTAATTTCTCAATATTTCCTAAAATTAAATAAGTATGGAATAACCAAAAAAAAAAAAAAAAAAAAAAAAAGACATTTCTAAAATAATTTCTTTCATTTGTGACTAAATCCTGAAAGTTTCATTAAAATCTGACAATTATTTAAATTTGGCAAGAATTTACAAATCTATGTTTTTTACCACAAAAAAGATAAAATTTCCTATACTAATCTTTGCCCTCACCACCTGCAGCTGACATCAAAAGATTTTTAACCAGAATTTTGATGTTCTAAAAAGGATTAGAAAATATAATTTAATAAGATATTGACAATAAAACTGTTTTTCATCATGGTATGCAAGTATTTTACTGAATCAGTGGAAGTACCTAGATATAATTATTTGATACAAATGTCTGTGTACAGTAGACAGATGCAATAAATATACTTGACTCAGAAAGTTTAGAAAATATCAAAAGATTAACACAGAAAGAAAAGCACAGATTATGAAAGGTTTTCACCAAACCAAGATACCTACACAACATTTTTTTAAGTTAATTAAAAAAAAATAATATGCAACACGAACAAGTTATCAATAAATATTTACTTCTTTTAAAATAATCAAATAATTAACAAGCTTGTATAACCATTTTGACTGGAAATACTTCTACTTATATTTTAATAACAAGCCCCACCCATCAAGTATGGTATGTTTCGGTCTAGATTTATGCTTCACATCTTACTTTTGTAACCCCCTCCAATTTTACCCCAATGTAATTATTTTTTTTTTAGACTAAACTCTAAGACAGAAAAAAAAAAAAAAAAAAAAAAATAACATTCACTTTTTGCCTGATATAAAAAGTACAAAGCACACACTCTTCTAAATACAAGTCTAGAAAATACATAGCAGAAAAAACAACAATAATAAAATCATAAAGACACAGATAACAAGTGTAAAAACAATTGAGAAATCTGGCTTTCTCTTACCATCACGTACCAGGTTATTTACAAAATTCCACTTTTCTCAGCTTCTTTCATAGATACTAGTTTGTCCATCTTTTTTTTATCTCAGATTAAGGCAGTAAAAAAAACAAAAATAGTTTAAGCAGAGTTGCTTCACTCAAAGAAGCATCATACAAGGAAAGGACTTTTGCAAAGCTAATTTTATATTTTCAAATTAGATGTATTTTTACTACAGCAAAATCTTGTAACAAGAGAACCGTTGAGTGCAACAACCATGTATACTTGTAACAACATCACAGGTGAAATTAGATTCAATGAAAAAAAAAAAAAAAAAAAAAAAAAAAAAAAAAAAAAGAGTAGACAAAGTAACAGTCATGGGAAGAACAAGTAGAGAATATTGGGCCAGATTCAACCAGAGAACTAGAATATTATAGATATCGCCTTGGCAAGATACCAAATGAATTTCTTCATACTACAAGTC